CCTCTCTTTCTACATATCGGAGGGTGGGGGTGACATCGCAGCGAAATGGAGACCCCCCCACTAGGATATTGGTTTCGGATGCGCGTTCGTGTCGCGCGTGCGGGCGAAGCGAAGCTGCGTGGGCGGGCGAGAGGAATGAACTCTCCGTTGCCGGGGCGAAACCGATCCAAACGTTGCTGTCCCCCGTGTTGGCCAGCAGTGGCCCTGTGGTGTCCCGATGGTGTCCCGATGGTGTCCCGATGGTGTCCCATTGGTGTCCCGAAAGAGTCCCGATGGTGTCCCGTAGTGTCTCGTGATGTCCCGTGGCGCGCGTGTGTCCCGTGCTGTGTTTGATGCTATGCATTGTCAGGCTAGCGATAGTGACATCGATAGTGCGATCGATACTGAGATCCATTAGATGAGATCGAAAGTAAGATCGCTCGTGAGATCGATAGATTGGCAACGAGATAATGTGAGTGACATCGGTAGTGAGATCGGTACCGGGATCGATAGTGAGATCGATAGTGAGATGGATGGTGGTATCGATAGTGAAACCCCGAGAACCCCGCCGCCCACCAAACTCCGCCGCCCATCGAAATCGGCCCGGAACCAGAAACGGGGAACCTGGGAATTCGGAACCCGGACCTGGGAACCCGGCCTCCTACCGAAATTGACCCTGAATGTTCGCCAAATATTTCGATATCCGCTAGGACCCCTTCAGTGCAAGCACTGATTGGGGAACTATAGATCGCACGAGCGATCTCACGATCGACCTCACGATCGATCTCAGTGAGTCGACTTCACGATCGGTCTCACAATCGACCTTACTCTTTACCGTCCTTATTTTTCATCCCACTATCGGTCTCACTATCGATCTTACAATTTCAAACCATCCACTGATTGGATTTTTTCCCTGGTGTAATCCGGACCATGCGGACACCTTGCCCTTCCCCCCGAAACGGGAGCTCCGGGATCCGGGGCTCCTGGACGCCTCCTTCAAGGATCCCGCGAAATTTCCGTCCCTCCGGAAGTCCCTGCCCAGCTGAGCAAACGGGTCGGCGGCGGTCCCAAAAGACCCCCAAGACGGTCCAAGATGGCCTGTAGCGGCCCTGGAAACCTCGCCAAACGCCCGAAGAAGGCTCAAATATCACCCCAACAGGCTTTCGAAACACAGAAAGGTTGATGTTCCTTTGGAGTTTGTGTGATTTTGAGCTATTCGGTTGTTCGGTTTTCTGGGAGTCCGAGAACGCCTGACACGCACCGACATCCGCTCCAAGACGACCATAGCAGGTTCCTGACAGTCCAAGAGAGCCTCAAGAAGGCCCAAGAAGGCTCAGAAACTGCCCACAGAGGGTTCCCATGACGGGCCGAAGTTGCCCCAAGACGCCTTCCAGATGCATTCAAACTGTGACCCGAGACCACGATTCGCGGCATGGTGGCCCGAGGAAAACCCCCAGAGGCCGCCACAAGGCGCCAGGGACGTTTCCACAGGCTGCCAGGAGCCTCCGCAAGCAAATCTGCGGAGGACGGGGAAGAGTTCGCGGGGCAATGAAGGCGAGAACGAGGAAGAGGAAGAGGAAGAGGACACATGAGGGAAGGAGAAGGGAAAAACAATACGATAACGGTGGCGGTGAAAATTGCATCCAACAGCGATCGTTGTTTTGGTTGATTTACCTCTCTCCAATTATGCCTGCATGTAGGACGTGAAAGACCCAGGCGCATGGCGCGAAGCGCCAATGGAGTCTTGTGTGTGTATTGATAAACATGAATAGGAGGGGTCTCAGGGGCCCTGGGGGCACCGATTTTGTATCCGGCCGTTCTGGACCCGTCAAAGGAGGGGAAGCACGGCGACGAGATGGCCCAAGAGACGTCCAAGAGGACTCCAAGACGGCCCAAAACCGGGTTCAGAGAGCCCAGGACCGCCCAAGAGCGTTCCAAGATAGCCCAATATGGCTTCAAGACAGCCCAAGAGGGCATCGAGACGGCCACGAGGCTTTCAAAAGGTGCCCCACGAGCCTCTCAGGATGCGAAACCTATTTTGTCAACAGTTTTTGAAGGTTTCCCAGGCTCTGTTTCTCCCAACCATCCTGTGGTGTTGGGTCCTCGTTTTGAAGAGACGGCCCCCGCGTTCCTCACTCCCTTCCTCCTCCTCCCCTTCCCCCCTCCTCCCTCTCCCTGCGTTTCACCCGCCCAGTACAGCGTTTCGTGGCCCCATAGGGAGCTCCACCGAAGGCGCTAGTGCCACTGTCCGCATGTGTCCCGAAACATTAAATTTTGCATTTTCGCGAACCCAGTACAGCGCTTCGTGGCCCTATAGGGAGCTCAACCGAAGGCCCCAGTACCACCGTCCGCATGCGCTCCGAAACATCAAACTTGGCATTTTCACCCACCTGGTACCGCGTTTCGTGGCCCCATAGGGAATTCCACCTAAGGCCCCAGTGCCACCGTCCGCACGCGTCCCGAAACATCCAATTTGGCATTTTCACCCACCCAGTACCGCGTTTCGTGGCCTCAATAAGGCGCTCCACCGAAGGCACCAGCCACCGTCCGCGTGCGTTCCGAAACATCCAATTTGGCATTTTCACCCACCCAGTACCACGTTTCGTGGCCTCAATAAGGCGCTCCACCGAAGGCGCTAGTGCCACCGTCCGCATGCGCCCCGAAACATCAATTTTTGCATTTTCACCCACCCAGTACCGCGTTTCGTGGCCCAAAGGGAGCTCAACCGAAGGCCCCAGTGTCACCGTCCGCATGCGTCCCGAGAAATCGAATTTGGCATTTTCACCCATCACACACCCAGTACATCGTCTCGTGGCCCCACAGGGAGCTCCACCGAACGCGCTAGTGCCACCGTCCGCGTGCGTCCCAAAGCATCAAATCTGGCATTTTCACCCATCACACACCCAGTACATCGTCTCGTGGCCCCACAGGGAGCTCCACCGAACGCGCTAGTGCCACCGTCCGCATGCGTCCCCAAGCATCAAATCTGGCATTTTCACCCACCCAGTACAACGCTTCGTGGCCATCGGAGGCCCCAGTACCACCGTCCGCATGCGCCCAGAAACATCAAATCTGGCAGTTTCACCCACCCAGTACAACGCTTCGTGGCCCCATAGGAAGCTCCACCGACGGCCCCAGTGCCACCGTCCGCATGCGTCCCAAAAAATCAAATTTGGCATTTTCGCACACCCACTACAGCGTTTCGTGGCCCCACAGGGCGCTCCACCGAAGGCCCCAGTGGGACCGTCCGCATGCGTCCCGAAACATCCAATCTGCCATTTTCACCCACCCAGTACAGCGCTTCGTGGCCCCATAGGGAGCTGCACCGAAGGTTCCAAGTCTACCGCGCAGTGCTACCGCCCGCATGCGTCCCCCCACCAAGTGCAGCGTTTCGTGGCCCCGTAGGCAGCTCAACCGACGGCCCCAGTGTTACCGCCCGCATGTGTCCCCCCCACCCAGTACAGCGTTTCGTTGCGCTTCGTGGCCCCATAGGGAGCTCCACCGAAGAAGATATTCACAATTGCGGCACCCACATTTGCATATGGTTCGGTCCTTCGCCAGGATAATTTTCATATTTCCGACAGGCCGGGACAGCCCACGAGGCCCCAGAAATCGGCCCAAGCGGTCCCCACAGTGGGCCACAGGACGGCCCAAAAGAGTCCCGAGACGGCCCAAGGGCGTCCCAAGACGAGAAAGGTCGTTCAGGAGGAGCGTCGCTTGCCCGCGCGCTGGCAGCCGCTCCTTCACCCAGGGCACGCCCTACCAAGCACGCCGGCCGGTAACGCAACGATTCGAGTTGGCGCCGTTTAAGCATTTGCTACCCCGAACCCTTTCCAGACGGCGCCAGCGCGAATCGTGACGTCACCAGGTTCGGTTCGGAGGGGGCGGGTCGTCTTTGGTAACGGGCGTTATCGCGAACCGTAACAAAACGCGTTCATGTGCGCCCACCGCCCGCGACCTCGGGAAGGGATGTGCCTTCCTGAGAAAAGAAAATCCTTTCCAGAGGAAGGGCTTCCTTTGGGTGACGAGATCTACACACATCCACTGCCTATGGCCAGCTGGCATGGCCAGGGAGGCGTATACCGTATACACCGCTTCTGGGCCCAGAGTGGGCCTGGGCGCAGTGGATACCATTTTGGAAAGAACAAGGCTTGCCAGGTAAAGGCCGTCCGAAGGAAGGGGGACCCCCCGTCAATAATGAAACACATATCGTACATCATGGTTTTCTTGGGAAGGCCTTCAGGGGAAAGGGGACATTTTTAGAGGAAGGAACTTTGGGAGCAAAAACTTTCCGAGAACGGGCTTCAGGAAGGGGTTTTCGAAAGGGCTGGGTTCACGTTCTGTTTTTGGAAAAGTTTCCGTCGGATGCCTGTATTCGATTTCCCCCCCACAACCCCCTGAGGCCCAGAACATTCAGCCTGAGAAAGAGATAGATTGTGGGGCTGGCGGAATCGTCACAGCGGTTTCGAACGACGACGACAACGGCGGAAAATCCACACATAATCAGTCCTTGGGCCCCTCCTGGGCCTCGCCCCGACCCATTTTGTCGAGTCGCGAACAGCCGTTTCGTCGAAGGGGCCTCCGAATGCGCAGATGCGGGGAGAATGAGGAGGAGGCGGAGGAGGAGGAGGAGGAGGAGGAGGAGGAGGAGGAGCTATGTGCGACCTACCGTGCGCATTGAATCGACGTCGGATGGAAGATGGCCCTCTTTGTAGGGAACCACGAGTTGGCATCGCTCAGCCACGGTTATACAGTGAGCGCGGCGAATCAGGCGAGGAGGCGGAGGAGGGCCACGACGACGACGACGAACAATAACGACGACGAAGGCGTCGACGGCGCCCACGAAAACGAGGACGATGGTGGCGGTGGCGGCGGCGGCGGACGGCGACGACGACGACGACTACGACGACGACGATGACCGGACGAACGAAAGAACGAACGAACGACGAGCGAACGACGAGCGGCGATGACTGCGAACGACGCGCGACGACGACGAAGACGTCCTGGCGCGCCCGCCGGAGGTGTCCAGAACGCGGCTGCACGGCCCTCGCCGACGTCGAGCTCGCCATCGCCCTGGTACCCGTCAAGACGGCACGCTCCCGCCGCGGCGGATTTCCTCCGCCCCCGCCGCTCGCCGCTCGCCGCTCGCCGCCTTCCCGCTCCTGCGCCCTCGTCGGTGGCAACGTTCGGGGAGGGGCTCAGGGGTTCGTCGGACGTTTTCGGACATCCTCTGCGGCTTTCCAGCCTCGTAGTGCTCTCCAGCAGCTGCGCCTTGCCGAGAGCGTTCGGGGGGGGGGCCAGGTCGTCCCGAACGGCCGCCAGGGAGCCGAGTTAGGAACCGAAAACCAGGGGACATTCGACCCCCAATCGGCTACTCATCGCTGATGGGGCCTGATTAACCTCACCGCCCCAGATTGTAGGGTCTTGCTATCGGGGACCTATCGCCGCTGCCAGGTCGACGTTTCCCACCTTGGCCAGCACCCCCCAGTTCCCCTTCATTTCGGGGGCCCACCGTTGCCGCCGCCGCCGCCCCCGCTGCCCCCGTTTCGGGGCTTTCGGAGGGGATGCCCCCCAGAAAATCGAATACCGTCATTCTAGATATCGAGATCTTAAATTCCTCGAAGACAAAAACCTCCAGGACGGAGGATGATAACTTCCAGAAAGATTCTTTTATGGACACCGGACCTCCACTTTTGAATTTTTGTTGGGCCTTTCTGGCCACCTCGCCGCCGCCGGAATTTCTGAGCGGGGCCGCCGCCTTCGCCCGCCGTCGCCGCGACATTTTTCCCAACCATCCTGTGGTTTTGGGTCCTCGTTTTGCAGAGACGGTCCCCGCGTTCCTCCCTCCCCCCTTCCTCCTCCCTCCCCTTCCCCCCTCTCCCTCCCTTCTCCTTACGTTTCCTCCACCCAGTACAGCGCTTCGTGGCCCCAGAGGGAGCTCCACCGAAGGCGCTAGTGCCACCATGCCCATGCGCCCCGAAACATCAAATTTGGCATTTTCCACCCAGCCAATACAGCGCTCCGTGGCCCCATAGGGAGCTCCACCGAAGGCCCCAGTGGGACTGTCCGCACGCGCCCCGAAACATCAAATTTGGCATGTTTCACCCTAGCGATTTGTGGCCCCATAGGGAGCTCCACCAAATGCCCCAGTGGGACCGTCCGCACGCGCCCCGAAACATCCTATTTGGCATTTCGCACCCACCCAGTACAACGCTTCGTGGCCTCATAGGGAGCTCCACCGAAGGCCCCAGCGGGACCGTCCCCATGCGCCCCGACACATCCAATTTGGCATTTTTCATCCACCCACTACAGCGCTTCGTGGCCCCATAGGGAGCTCCACCGAAGGCCCTAGTGGGACCGTCCCCATGCGCCCCGAAACATCCAATGTGACATTTTTCACCCACCCAGTACAGCGCTTCGTGGAGCTCCACCGAAGGTGGGCCTCTCAGGAACGAAGGGTGATGCGAGCCCTCGCGGGCCAATCCGAGCGGGGTTATTTTTTGTGCTCTTACTAGGGACACGCGCTCGGCTGAACCCAGTCCCCCGACGCGGCGATGGCGTCGCCAGCGACTGCGCCAGGGATGAGGGCGATGGTCTCACGGGCCCGTCGGACGAGCAGTGGTGGCTGCACCTCTAAATCATGTTCTCCCGCGCCACGTGCATGTGGAACACGCCGATCCTGCGGCCGCCCGCGCGAGGAGTTCCTGGGGCGCGGGCCGCCAGCGCCCCTGCGGAAGGCGCTTTGGAAATTCGCCGAGACAGCCGAGAGCTCCATAACCTAATCGGAGCAGCTCGTAGCGCGACAAGGCTTCGCGCTGCCCCCCGCCTGAGCGCGGCCGCGCCCGCCTCGAGGCCCGCGCGAGTGCCTCAACGGCCTGGCCTGCGGGATTGTCCTGGCGGCCCGCCCCTCGCCCCGGCGGCCCGCGGGGGTGTCCCAAAGGCGCGGCCCGCGGGATTGTCCCGAAGGCTTCGCGATCTAGCCGTCGGCGAACGCGCGCGCGCGCAGGCCGAGTCGGCGACGGCGCAGCAGGGGGAATGGGAACCGCGCGTGGAGAGGAGGCAGGAGGAGGATGAGGAGGGGGGACATAAGGGTAATTATGGGGGAGGGCGATGATGAGGAGGAGGTGGAGGAGGAGGAGGAGGAGGAAGCGGAGGAAGAGGACAGATAGAAGGAGGAAAAGGAGAGGGCTGAGCAAAGAGCGAGAGGAGGGCGTCCGCCAGGGCGAGTCGGAAAGGGCCAAGGGCACGCTAAACAGATGCTCGCGCGGGGTCCTACAATCATAGTATTTCGCCAGTTCAAAACACGTCTCTTGATGTCCGCCTGTGGGGGCTGCGCTCGGTCCCCGCATCAAAACTGCATCCAAGGCGACGTAGTGATTCCGGGGGAAAACTTGGGATCTCTGGGTCGCAAATTGTAGAAATCACTTCGTTGGGGTCTGGCAGGCGGCAGCCGAACGACGCGGTTTTTGTTTTGTTACTCACTAGGCGAAGCGGGGGCCAGGAGGGCAAGCAAAGGAGCTGACACATCGGGACACCAATCGTCGGAAAGGGGAGAGCTGGTGCGACACATGGGGTTCGGCGGCGCGAAATGTCGACGACCCGCGGCGACGCTGTCAAGGCTGAAGGCATGGAGGTTTTAGGAAGAGGAAAAGGAAAATGAAAGCTTGCATTTGCACTCGGTTTATGGCGTGCGTGCGAATCCGGGGGGGGATCGTCGCCGTCGCGTCAGAGCGTCGTGGGAGGGCGAAACTGGTGCGACACTGGGTCCGGCTGCGTCGCATGCAGAAGACGCGCGGTGATGCGCTCAAGGTTGGAGGCCTGCAGGTTTGAGGAACAGGAGAGGGGGAGTATCAGGAATGATTCCACTCACGTTCGGTTTCTCGCGTTGCAGCGAAACCGTGCGAGGAACGGCGCCGGTGCGTCAGATAAGTTAGTAGTATGAGGGCGACGCTTGCGCGAACACGGGGTCGGCGGCGGTGCGCGTGGACGACGCGCAGCGATTCGCTCAAGGTTGAAGGCGTTGAGGGAGGAGGAGGAGGAGGAGGAGGAGGAGGAGGAGGAGGAGGAGGAGGAGGAGGAGGAGGAGGAGGAGGAGGAGGAGGAGAAGGAAGAAAAGGAGGAAGAGAGGAGGATGCAAACCGAACGACTCCGCATTCGAGCGGGCTTCCAGTCGAACGAATTGCCACCCGGACGAGTTGTGGTGTCCGGGGGCCAGAGGCGGTGGCCCAGGCGTGCCGCCGGTATTTGGCCCAGCGAATACCCACCGAAGGAGTGGAAACGGAGCGAATTACACCCCGAATGAGTTTTTCACCCCGAGCGAATTTTCATCCGAACGATTTGTGGCCTCTGGGACCGCATCCAGTGTCCCAGGCGGCGACCGGGCATCGGCCGAGCGAGTTTCAACCGAAATTGGACCCGAGCGACTTGAATTCGGTCGAGTTTTCATCCCGACCGAGCGGATTGTGGCCTGCGGGGCTACATTTGGTGTCCCAGGCGGCGACCAGGCATCGACCGAGCGAGTACTGAGCGAAATGAAACCCGAGCGAATTTAACTGCTCTGGTGTCCCAGGCGGCGACCTGGCATCGACCGAGCGAGTTCCAACCGAGCGAGATTAAGGCCGAGCGAATTTTAATTCGAACGAATTTTCGCCCCGAGCCAGTTCCCATCCGAGCGAGTTGTGGCCGCCCGGACCGGATCCGGCGCCCCACGCGGCGACCCGGCATCGACCGAACGAAGTTAAACCGAACGAAATCTAACCCGATCGAAATTAAACCCTAACGAATTTAAACCGAGCGAATTCAAACCCGAGCGAAAACAAACCGAGCGAAATTAAACCCGAACGAATTAAAAGTGAGCGAAATCAAACGAGCGATAGGATTCGAGCGAAATTAAAGTTGAGCGAAACAAAGGTGAATCGCTCAGCGTACCACCTCTCAGGAGAGGGGGGATGGCCAGGGCGGGACGGGGATCCTGCCAGCGTGCCACCACCAGACCCTACAGGCCAGACTTGGGCCTGCACCTCGGTGAATACCGGCTCCTGGGCAAGCTGGAAGACTACAACACTACATCCTCCAAGCGGGCCTGTGGAGGTTTGGTGGATGTGGAGGTTGTCAAGAGGGTGTGGGAGGGGAGGGCGTCGCGCCTCTCGCGTGGTGCTCTGTGCGTGGTGCCGCGTGCGCAGTGCTGCGTGCGCGGCACTGCTCGCGGCGCCGAATGTGCCACGCGTGTGCTGCACTGTGCATCGTGGACGCGTGCAGCGTGCTCCCTGCCTCCGAGCTGTGTGTGGCGCCGTGTGCGCGGGGGGCGCACAGCGTCCCCGCTCAGGCTTCGACCGAGGTGCGCGATCGCCATCGCCGCGACAAAAAAAAGTGAACGGAGCCGCGTGCCGCGTGCGCCGAAGCGCCATGCGATGTCGGCGTCTGTGGGGATGCGATCTCATACCGGGCCTGGAAGGGTCTTCCGCTCACGTGCCGGCCGGCCTGGTGGCAAGCAGCTGCCGCTGCGCCTGGCCAGGGGGGCCCGCGGCGCCGTGGGCGCCTGGGGCAGGATCCAGTTCAGGTCGATCCGACCGATCCGATTCGATATTAATCCCGGCCGGCTCGAATCCGATTCCATTCCGACATGCCGTCGAGCCGATGCGGCCCGATGCTCGTCCGGCGTTAACATTGTTGTGCATCCTGGCGCAGCCGATCCGGTTCGATTTCGGCGCCGTTCGGAGGGCACCAACCATACACCAACACCGATCCTGGCCCGGATCGGTGTTGGTGTATAGTTGGTGCCTTCCTAGCCGTGCCGATGCAGCCCGATCCGACGCTCCTTCCGATTCGATGCGATGCCCCGATTCGAGGCTGGCCGATCCTGCGGGGAGGGGCCAGGTACGCCTGGGACCAGAGAGTCGGTGGGGCCCGACGGGGGCGCCAAGTCCAGAGGGCGTGCACGAGCGCGATCGCCGCGTCTTCTCTGTGAAGCGGCGGCGTGGGAGGGCAGAGTGTGCTGCTCTTGGAGGGGACGGGAGGCTTCTCGGAAGGCTCCTCGGAGTGCAGGAGGGTTTCTGTGGATGCCCTCCCTGCCTTCCAGGGAGGTTCTTCCCACTGCCCCACGCTCGTGCGCCGTGGGAAGGCAGAGCGCTGCTTGGAGGGGACGGGAGGCTTCTCAGAAGGCTCCTCGGAATGCAGGAGGGTTTCTGTGGATGCCCTCCCTGCCTTCCGGGGAGGTTCTTCCCACTGCCCCACGCTCGTCTGCGCGCCGCCAGGTGGCCACCTGCCTGATGATTACGGCGACTCGCTCTCGCCGTGCTCCTGCTGTCCCCTTCCTCCTCTTCTCCACAGTCCTCGGTGTGCGCCCGTGGCCGTGACCTGCTCGCTCGCGGCCCGCAGTGCCTGATGGACGTCGTCATCTTTCAGACCGACTTCGACGGTCTGGATATTCTTCTTTCTTTGACTATTCCTCTTCGTTCTTAGTATGATTATTGTTCCTCTTCTTCTTCCTCTTCTTTTTGTTATCCGTAAGGGCTTCGCCCCCTGCCGCCGGCCCCCTCTCTCGGAGAATGGGCCATGGAAGAGCTAAGTCATGAGGCCTTGGCGCTGTGTGAAGCAGTATCGAAACTTCATGCGAAGCCGATTCGCAATCAGCAAAACCAACTGATCACAAGAGGGGTTACCACACCTGGCGATTGGTAAGACGTGTATGGTTTACGGGCTTGGTTACCACACCTTGCGATTAAAGGGCCGAGGGAGTTCTCGCAGTTTGGGTTACCACGCCTTGCGATGGATGTGCGTGAAGGGTGGCACCGAATTTCAGAAATGTGGCAAATCCCTTGTGTTTTTGGACCCTGACCCCGCGGATCTGCGTGAGGGGTGGCACCGAATTTCAGAAATGTGGCAAATCCCTGTGTTTTTGGACCCTGACCCCGCGGATCTGCGTGAGGGGTGGCACCGAATTTCAGAAATGTGGCAAATCCCATGTGTTTTTGGACCCTGACCCCGCGGATCTGCGTGAGGGGTGGCACCGAATTTCAGAAATGTGGCAAATCCGTTGTGTTTTTGGACCCTGACCCCGCGGATCTGCGTGAGGGGTGGCACCGAATTTCAGAAATGTAGCAAATCCTATGTGTTTGGGCCCTGACCGAATTTCAGAAATGTAACAAATCCCGTGCGTTTTTGGACCCTGACCCCGCGGATCTGCGTGAGGGGTGGCACCGAATTTCAGAAATGTGGCAAATCCCATGTGTTTTTGGACCCTGACCCCGCGGATCTGCGTGAGGGGTGTCGATTTCGAGCCCCCCCAGCAATTCAGACAACGCGCCCAGGAGACTCTAAAAATCCCGTTTGGGCCTCCCCCCCCTCGCGCGGTCAATCAACTAGTTACAGTAACCAGCAAGAAGTCAACTAGTTACAGTAACCAGCAAGAAGCAGAACTGTAACACTGGAAACTACAAACTACAACTGGTACAGGAAACTGCGAATCCCGCGCCTCGCAGCCTGGTGGCCCCACAAGGGGGCCGGCGGATTTTTCTTCTGCATGGCCCAGCACGGGTCCTCACTCAGCGCGTACAAGGGGGTGGCGCGAGGGGGGCGGCTCTCGAAGAACGGCGGGGGGGCTTCGCAGAAGGCAGGGGGCCCTTTCGGGAAGGGACCCGAGGCTTCTCATGCGGCTCCCGAGACGCCGGGAGGGCTTCTAAGACTGCCGTCCACCCCGCGCCCCCCCCCCCGGTGCACGCCGCCAAGCGGGGGAGCTGTCCTGGAGGAGCGGGGCGCTGCTCGTTTTTCGAGACCTTCGCGCCGCCAGCAAGCCACCTCGAGACTGAGCAGCTCGTCCCGGGCAACGTCCCCGGGCCCAGGGCCCATGTCCACCAGGACCCCTTCACCTCTGGCTCGTCCCGGGCAACGTCCCCCGGCTCAGGGCCCAGGTCCACCAGGACCCCTTCACCTCTGCCGAGCGTTGTTTCGATTGGTCTGCCTGCTTATCGGAGCTATGAAGGTTTCGGTAGGGGGGGGGGCCTCTGTCAGAGCGAGAGGCAACGATGAGGGAACGCTTCCAAAAAGGGGCTCGGCCGTTCCTTACATAATGCATTATTTGATTATGATTAAAAGGGGCTTCGTGCCGTATTTAGCGTTCCTTCTGGCAAGGGCCTGATTGTAGCCTGCATGTCGACGATTTTCCCACCCGCACCCGTGTTTGCAGCAGCCTCCCGCGAGGAGGAGGCCAGGAGGAAGGAGGTGGAGGATGAGTGGCGAGAGGGTGAGGAAGATGAGGTGGAGGAGGAGGAGGAGAAGGTGGAGGAGAAGGAGAGTGGAGGAGGAGGAGGAAGAAGAAGAAGAAGAAGGAAGATGGAGGAGATGGGTGGAGTAGTCCCTCCATTTCTCCCCTCTTCCCTCCTTCGGCCGTCCTTCACCGCACATCTCAGCTCGGCAGGAGGGCACGGACGAGCTCGTCGAGTTCATCCAGGTGGGTTCCGGCAACAAGAGCAAGACATTGGCAGAGTGCGCCCACAGGGGGGGAGGAGGAGGAGAAGGAGAAGGAAGAGGAGGACGAGGAGGAGGAGGAGGAAGAGGAGGATGATGATGATGAGGAGGAGGAGGAGGATGAAGAGGATGAGGAGGAGGAGGAGGAGGAGGAGGAGGAGGAGGAGGAGGAGGAGGAGGAGGAGGAGGGAGGAGGATGAGAAGGAGGATGAGAAGAAGGAAGAGGAAGAGGAAGAGCAGCTGAATGGTGGGGAGGATGAAGGAGAGGGGATGTGGAGGAGGAAGAGGGGAGGAGGAGCAGGTGGGAGGAGGAGCAGGCTGAGGAAGAGGAGGAGGAGGAGGAACAGCAGCAGCAGGAGGAAGGGACGGGGAAGGGGAACGAGGAGGGGACAGCGAGGCCCGGCGGCAGCGCGTCAGCGAGGAGGGGACGTGAAGCCCAGCGCGAGCGAGGAGAGGCGTTCAGCCCGCCCGGGGGCTGTGTGGGGGCGGCTTTGGCGCGCCCTCCGCGCGCCCTTCCCGCGGCCCGCCCCGCAGGAACGTGAAGCCTGGCGGGAACCCCTGCCGGCAGATGTGGACGGGCGGGGCGGGGTCGTCAGGGGCGCCCAAACGGTCGGGGGAGCGTAAGACCCGGGTTTGCCAGGACTCGGGTTCGCCATTGTTTTTTGACGACCGCGACTCGGATTTTGACGAGGAGGAGTTTCGTGGGATGTCTGCAGCGGGAGGCCTCGTCAAAATGCAGGCTCGGCCTCGTCATTTTTTGACGACCTCGTCGGGGATTTCCGAGTCCCCTGTACCCAGGTCTTACGTCCCCCTGAAACGGGGTGGTGACCACACCGTGCGGTGAGTCGGTGAGGATTCGGGGTCGCCGCCCGGTTTTGGGACTCGGGTCGTTCTCCGGGGACGACGTCTCGGGCGGCCGGGGCCCTCGGGGTCTCCAAAGCCGTGCGCTGACGGACCGTGCGGTGAGGTCTTGGGGGATCTCGAGGTCACCGCACGGTCTGTCACCACACCGTTTCGGGACTCCAAAGGGTCGTCAGGGGCAACGTTCGGGGGGGACAGGCATGCATCGACACCCAGCCGCCACTGGATCGCCGATGGGGGCCTGGTAGCCCATACCGCCCAGGAACGTGCGGACTCGCAATCGGGAGCCTCTGTCGCCGATGTGTCGGCCATATGTCGCCGAGTCAAGGTCGATGTCCCCCCCCCCCCCCGCTCTAGGTAGGCCAGTCCACACCGAACGTTTCCCCTCGGGTCGGCGGCTGCAACAGGGGAGGATAGCGCCTGGGGGGAGCATTGCATGTCTTCGACGGGGCTCCCCCGCGATTGCCTGCACTGCAAGGCTCCGGGTCCCTGTTTGGGGGGTGTCCCAGAGGATGGAGGACCGCCGTTCTGGAGGTCGAGCCTCCATGTTGGTGGGCGAGAAACCTCCAGAGCGAGGGGACGACAGCTTCCAGAAAGGAAGTGGGACCTTCGTTTTGAATGTTTGTTTGGTCCTCTGGATGGGAGCTCCCGGGCGTCGAGAGGACCGTGTCGGACGAAAGTGGGGGTATAGGGGAAGGGGGGGGCGCGAGATCTGCTGCGTGCAGCCCGTCTCTGGCGCCAGGCGCTTTCCTCGATGAAGCATGCTCGAACGGCCCGACAAGAAGCCCCATCGTGAACCCAACGTGGTCCTTGTCTCAGCGTCTTGACTGCACATCCTTCAGCTGGTGGGTCTGTCCATGTATACCTCCACCTCCGCCTCCTCCGCTTCCCCCCACACACTTGCGATTAACGATGTCCCGCCGACACGCATGCGTGCGCGCGTGCCTGGAATTTCCCGGCGTCGCAGATATCGAGGCTTCTCTGGGGAGCGCAGATTCCACCTGCCGTCTTGGCCTTCCGCCCTGCGGAGCCGCCCCTGCGGCCGTGCCCCTGCCGCTGCACTGTGCAGCCGCTCTTTCCCGTTGCGCCTCTCCCCCGGTCGGCGCTTGCACGGCCGTGCGTGCCCCTCTTCTCTGCATCGGGTACGCAGCGCCACTCCATCAGCGACGCCGGGTGGTGGTCTCCACTGGCGACCTCGCCACGCCCTCGCTGTGTCGGACCAGCCTTCGGGGAAGCAGACACTCTGTGCAGACTCTGCACGGCGGGCGCCAGAGGTTGATCGAGCCCCAATCGTAGCGTCGTGCGGCCTCGGGAGGTGCCGCGAAGTTCGGTCAACTTGTAGAGATGTTCGGGGACAGTCTTGGCACTGCTTAAGTCGGGCCTGTCCCTCTACAGGGGGAATATTCAAAAATAGTCAAAAATAGTCTGTGGACTATTTATTGTGACATTTTTTTTTTTTTTTTGTTTTGCATTTTTAGTGTATTTTTGGTTTGGTATTTTATTTTTTCGTCCAAAATCGGCCTGTAGGGGGACAGGCCCGACTTAAGGCACCGCTTGCTGCTCCCCCTCTCGCTGCCCTGGACCTCCAGCCGTCCCTCGCTCTTCTCTCGCCCTCCAGCGTGCACCTCTCCCCCCCCCCCCGCGCTGGCCTGTCGCCCTGAAGGCAAGGCGCAGGGCCGCACGCCATCCTCGCTTCTCGCGCCCTCCTGCGTGCACCTCTCCCCTCCCCCCCCCCCCACGCTGGCCTGTCGCCCTGCAGGCGAGGCGCAGGGCCGCACGCCGTCCTGGAGAGGGCGGGGCAGTCCG